AAAGGGATTCGAGCTACCAAATTTGAAAGGGATATCAGAATCTTTCAATTATCTTTATATGTTTATCTTGTTTTAAATATTAATGAGCAAGCTATCAGCCATTGAGGAGAGGCTTGGCATTCTATTTAAACCTTGAATGCCCCAAAAGTTATTTGGTTGTGCAACCCTACTACCATGTCAGCCACAGTGCCAGCTCTTTGGACTGCCGTTGGATCATTTTCAGGAAAATGTCTATGAGAAGCTTCTGAATGGTTAAAATAGTGATGGAAACAGAACAAGGGATCAGTCTGGTCCAAATGATTCAATCAGTTGGACCAAAGAGACTTTTTTAAGTGTTGGAAAATGAAACGTCTTTAGGAGATACAGTTGTGGTTTGGAAATTAAAGAAAAGTTTGTGTGCCCATAAGAAAAAGTTATTTGATCACAATTTCCCAAAAATTTGTCTGCTCATAAGAAAAGTTATTTAATTACATCATTAGCCCAATTGGGTATTGTTCTTTAGCCAATGGCATGAGAAGAAATTCGAACCTGACTCAGCTCAATGCAAATTATCTTGTCTCAGTAAAGAAACAGGGTAGTTTCTGTTCCTGTGGTGATGTTTGGGCCCAGGATGGCAAGATCCAAGCCACTTGTAAGAGAAAATGGGAAAAACAAGCTTCGCAAACAGACGACACCATTTCAAGTTAGAGGCCTGTGCTCACTGCGAGATGCAAGTTAGAAGAAGTGACTTTTAGTTTGCCTTTTCTTCTAATGCTTTGTGTCCATAAGTATTTAACCTGCTCCTATTATAAACGGTTTGATGCTTTCATTTAAATGACATTATTTAGTGGTCTTAATCTTATCGTTAAGCACTCAAAAGACTATATTGTATACCAAAATCAAACTGAAGAACCAGACATTCCAGCACGTTTTCTCTGATTACACTAGTAAAATGACAAGTTTGCAGGAATGGTTTGTGCATGAGAAGTTGATGTACCAATTTTAACGTGAGAGAAAATAAGCCAAATTTCCATATGTATACCTCATGGATATTTATCATCCTTCTAGCCCTCTGTGGGAATTAAAGACTTCATTGTCATGTACCTGTCACGGTTGAAGAGTGGAAGATAAGCCATTAGTGAGAATGCTACGAGAATGATTCTTGTGTTGTTCAATGGTTATTTTGCATGCTCTCTTGTGTTTCTCTCCATTGGGTTCTCTTTTTACCTGAAGTAGGGGAAGCAGGTTTGTCACTTTTGAGTCTCTCTTCCTTTGCAATCCTGTCCACTGTAGCTTGGCTCAGATACCAAGCTGTTGTAAATTGCCTACCCCAGTTGCATGGATATCTTATGGGTTCTTAGGAAACAAAATACGAATGCTTGGCCTTGATAGGGACCCACTTATGTATCTTACTGCTTGCTACAGAGAGCTCCTGATGCTGTGTTTAGCACTGCTGTTACATCCTTAAAACCTGAAGATGCATTTGATCCAAACTGGGTCAAATGTGTAGTGGACAAGCATGGCTATGCAATCTACTTTTCGAGGAGTCTGCTCCCTTGTAACAAGTAAGTTGCATCATAAATGTTGCTTTGACATCGGTTTTACATGGCATGCATCCCGAGCAGTTCTCAATTGATTTATGCATGACTTAGTCATTTTACAGGTCTGGAGAAGTTAATCCAAAGTTTCCTTACCTACTTCATCTTGGTATCCAGGTAGCTTACCTCCATCATAAAAACCTCTGCAATAATCTGAATAATGCTTTGTTTATCATTTATATGCTGCATGAATTAGCTATATTTGTCACTTGCTAATGCTGCTACTCTTTTTCCCAAACAGAGCTACGATTCAAATTTTCTAAAGATTTACCCACAACTTCTGCCTACTCCCCTGCAGCTTGAAGAAGACCTGGAGCAGCTAAAAGTTCTTGAGAATGGTTACAAGATGAAGGTACATGGCACTCTCTGAACCAGATTATTTCACCTTTGACTTCTCAATCCTGTTAAATTATGAACTCATAATACGTTCTAGGATGGATGGGTATGTTAAAATGGCAGTGTATCCATCTTTGCTGTCTTGAAAACATTTCTAGGACTTGAAAATGTGTGATGTTACACTTGATATAATGGATTATATGGCAACTATTTACCAGGAATTTCCTCTGTTCTATTTGTAGAGACTGTCACATCATTTGTTTTTCATTTCAATGAATATTATTTGTATAAGTGCTCATAATGTTTTAAGAAAAGCTTTTTTCATTTTTTATCAACTCACAGAAAACCATGCTCTCTCTCTCTCTCTCTCTCTCTCGTTTTGCTTCCATGACTTAGTATTATTGTGATTGTATTCATGGCATGATATAGTATGCAGTAAAGCAATTTATGGTCACTATTGAATTCTGATCAATTATCAAGGATGCTGAGCATGACCAACTGTGCTGCAGGTGATAAAGGTTGACCATGATGCTCATTGTGTAGACACGCCAGCAGATGTGGAAAAGATAGGAGCTCTGATGTGGGAAAGAAACATATCGTGTAGACACGCCAGCAGATGTGGAAAAGACGGAAGCTCTGATGTGGGAAAGAAAATATCCTAGACACTTCAAGAAGCCACAAAAGAAACTGTTATCTCATACGGGGATCGTTCCCTTTCTTTCGCATATAAAACACCCCCAGCAACACGGAAACAACTTCCAAAAAGTTGAAATTTTTTAGCTCATTTGGGTCAAAAGTACCCCCCGTTAGTCACATGAGGCATTACATTAGAAGTCGGTCCGACGAATGGAAACCGGCTTCTGGTTTGTAATTGAAAACCAGAAGCCGGTCGATTCGACTTGAGTTTTGCATAAGAAGCTAGTCTAGCACTCCAATTGCTGTACCATTTTTGTGGGACATGGAATACCTGACCAAAGCTTTCTAAAACACACTTTCTTTTAAAAAACACTCAGAATGAAGACCCATCCATACTTCAAGTGTCGGATCAGCCTCACCTTCTAACTACATGTTTTTCTTGACCACAAGAGAATTTTCATCTTAAACCATCCCCTTGGGGGTGTAGCTGAGAAAAAAACAATAAATGGGTTACTTGCATGGTTAAGAAAGTATTGGGGTATGCCTTTTGGGGTGTTTATTTTACTGTAATTTTGCCAACGAAGGGAGGTCGTTGCATTCATTTGTAGTTTAATTTGGACTCTTGTCCTTAGTTTCAGTGTTTATTTTCTTGTCTAATTTTGGATGGGAAGAGAGGCTTCTTACTGTGTGCTTTGTATCGTCTTGTTAATTATTGTGATATCTATTACAAAATGGCATTGGGATATACTCATTTTTTGTTTACGCAGATGTTAATCTATTCTTCTATGATTTTTGGATATTTCAGGTTGACTTTTTTATTTATTTCTTTTTTATGTTGAATGTTGACAAAAGGTGGTTTTTTGTAGCCCTGAGAGTCATTTTGATGGGATACCTCCTCAATTATTTTGAATAAAAATGGTTTGACCATATCGTTTATGGTTCATATCGGAGTTTTTAAAAGCTGATGATGATTGGGGTTTTTAAAACGTTGGGGATCCAAATTGGGGACGGTTGATCCAGGTCTCATTCGGTTGATGGTCGACCCAGTCCCCTCTGAAATAGTCCAATACAGGGTTTTACACCAATGGTTCATACAATAGCAGTATATGAACCCATTTCTCATTCAAATCAATACCATTAACAAAATCAGCCAGCCTGGATTCAATGATGATAACCCACTAAGTTGAACATTTAAACAAAATGAAGAGAAAATAAAGAAGAGAACGTAGGTCTCTAATTTTGAAATTCGATCCAAGATTTTGCGTTGTGGTTTTCTTGCCACATAAAACTACTACAAAAAATTAAAGAGTTTTGACCAGAACTTTTGACACATGTTAGAATAAGTTATTTTTATCATTGGTACAAAGATATCACAATTACGGGTAGTCACAAGATGTAAAATTGGATTCTCGATGATATGCCATTGACCAAGCTTAGCTAAAAATAAAATTTCTTGATCTTTACAACATTGTAAATGTTTGTAGCAGAGGAAAATGATCTTATATCATAAAAGCAATCGATTTGTGGAATTAACACAACAACAAATATATCATTTTCCATGGCTTATGTTTACGTACGCCCACAGATCCATCGAGACTGACTAGTGAGACGTAAGTTGTGGAGAAAGTGGCACCCTCTGATTATTGATGATGAAATGGATAAGAATGTCCGTCCTCTCCTTCCATCTGCTTGTGCCTCAGCAGAAGGTTATGCCCCAGTGTTTTTTTTACTTTTTTTTCTAAATTCCTTTTTCACAAAAAAACAAACATTAGAGAAAGAGGGAGACAAGCCCAATGGAGGCCTACCTTTTGAAGAGGAAATCCAACAACAATTGGTGCTAAAGACAACTCAGTGAAGCTCAGTTTGATGGCTGATAACCTATCCTTTATGGGAATCGACATAAGAAAGGGAAAATAAAATTAAACCCCTCTACTCCCCAATTTGTGGCCCGCATGGATCCTCAGTCCCTAGTTCCGTCTCGAATTTCACAAAAAGATTTTCTCCAAGTCTTGGATCGTCCTTCCATAGCCAAGATTATTTTTCAATTTCCCAATCCGAGAAAAGCCTTGGGCTAACATCAGGCAGGGCTTGAGTTGGGCCAGTCCTGGCCTGAGGCCCAGCCAACCTGGGGCCCTATAGTGGAGACCTGAGACCGACCCAGGCTGAAGGGGCCCCAGCTCGACTAGGCCAGGCTTTATGGACAAAGGTAAAAGAAATAAAAATGAAAACATGTGAGTGGGACAGGCCACTCCGTCGTAGCCCTTGGCCAGACCCAGCCAGGCCCAACCCTCACGCCACAAAATGTGGCCCAGGCCTTAATTTTTACAGCCGGTTGACCAAGCCAATCACAGCCAATTGGGAGAGCCCGCAAAAACATTAACTCCCCCCCCACCCCCGGAGACTCACTTTTTTCTTTGGAGATAGTAATTTTGTTCCCTTGAATCGTAAGAGTAAGGAGAGAATCTAAAACCCCCGTTTCATAAATAAAGCATGAATCATCAAAGTATAAGAACATGTATTTATGAGATACTATTTGAGAGATAGATAAAAGGAGAGGTAGAGAGAGACTAAATAATACATTTGTGTACCATTGCCATCTAAAAAGGCACTCCAACTCCCACCCATGATCAACAAAATCCCACTAGTCACCAAACAGAGTGGAGAGGAGTAGGTCTTGTACGAACCCTGCCTGTCTCGTCTTCTGCTCTCTTTCTTCAGAACTCAACGACGAGCACAAACTGCAAAAGAAATTCAAAAACTGTATGACTTTACATTGTATCAATGACGAAGGTATCTTTATCCTTGGGCAAGCAAAGAGTCTAGTCTACAAAGCCTCACCGGTGCAATCACAAGGAAATTGAATCCAAACAAGAAGGAAAGTTGAAACAAGAGCGAGAAGATCAGGAAGTACTTATTGCTTGGGCAGGAAACCTCTATGAAAACTTAGTGTAGCCTAAATTGTATCCAAAAGCTAATGAAATGATCCTCCTGACAAATATCTATATTGAACCCTTGTCAAACCATAACTCTCACTAAATCCCAAAACCATAATTCTTGACTGAATCGCAATTGCCCACCAGAACTTAAAAAGCTACTCTGCAGACTTGACCTAGAGAGAGAGAGAGCTGCAGTCCAGCTAAATGCTGTGTTTTCTTGCAACTCCGACAAGGGTGACGGCCAAAGCCCTTTCCAGAGAGGTATGCTAATAGATATTCTGATGGCTGCGCACAAAGTTATAGCCCAACAAAGTATCAGGACACCTCCAAATTCCATAACCAAGTTCAACGGGCCTTCTTTTAGAACATGGATGGCTTAGGTATTAGAACTTGACTAGGAGGTATATCACTTCTAATCAATAATATTATGGGCTAATACCCACACATATCGAATAATAATAACAATAAGAATAACAGAAAAAAGCTCAGAAGAATCCATCTTGAAGGGATATTTGAATGGGGCATTTTGTAGCGTTTGACTATGTTTCTTGGCCAACAATAAGATAAGAACATCAAAAGGCCAATCCCACTAGATTATCCATCATATGCATGTGTTTCTATATCGATAGTGTTCAATCTTTCCTCAAAAAGTATAGGAAAATGGCCACTATTTTAAGATCAAATATGTTTTGGAACTATGAATTCTTGAAACAGGCTGCATTTTAAGACCTGAAATTCTGAGAACTAGATTTGTCGTAATACTCCACTTGAATGAATCTAAAGATCTGACACTGGCTAAATATAGATTATTACCTAAGGCATTTGTGTAGAACACATGAATCTTTCCATGCAACCTACGGTGGCAAAGATAAGAAAGATAAAGAATCTTGATAACCCAAAGCCAGCGTGTTTCTTGTCATAAGTTGACTTTGTTTTAATATGTATAAAGAGGTACAAGCAAAGAGTAGATACAAAACATAGGCAAACCCAAAGAGTAGGTGCCCGGTACAAAAACCCCAGGGGGCCCAAAAAATGCTCTACACCAATGATCACAGAATAAGTGGGAGGCAAGCTTAAAAAATGCCTGCAGGTCCACTAGGAGGTGTTGAGGATAGCTCCTGCCCTAGCTAACGCATCGGCAGCGTCGTTGGATTTCCTATGGATATGTCTCCACGAGGCCCTGATATTGCTGAAAATGTCAGCTATCTCAGTAAAAATGTGGTCTAGTCTCCACCGGCACAGAGCAACTTCAGAGACCTAGGTGATGATATTTCTAGAGTCACCCTCGACCATTAACTGAGTACTCCAGTCCATGTCAAATCTACGAAGACCTTCAAGAAGGGTGACGGCCTCCACAGTGGTGGAGTCCGTAAAACCAATGGGTAAGGAGAAGGATAGGATGTTGAGGCCTTAGGAATCTCTAAATATGCCTCCAATGATTGAGGGGTCCGAGTTGCCAAGCGAGCAACCGTCAAAATTTAGATTGGTAACCCCAAAGTCAGGCGACCTCCATAAAGAGGCACAGGGAATCTTTTGGGCTCTGAGATTCAGCAAGGTCTCCCCGTGATGGTGAAGATCGATGAAGGAGTAGTTGGTGAAACGTTCTAATTGAGGGCCCAGAATGTAACAAGGGACCGTCTCTTCTCAATGATAACAGGGATGGTGGATTTCTCCCCTCTGAAAGTCCTACTATTTCTCTCTAACCATATGGTCCACATAGTGGTTAAGATGAAAGCCCTCCAAAGGCGTTTCCCGGATTTGCCCCAAGGTGCAAGGCAAGTAGATAAAAGATGATAAGGAGTGGAATCGGGATCAGGGGCAGGGGATCATGAACGGCTAGAAGATCCTTAAGGTGGGGAACCCCAAAAATGCAATGCACAGATAGGGATCGAGATCCCTAGATGTTTGGGATCTCTATTCCAACAATTTGGGGATCTTGATCCTGACCTCTTAAGATCTCGACCCAACCTTTTGGGGATCTTACTCATAAACTCAAAGAGTATATAAAATCTAGGACAATATACACTCTTTAAAATAGGGATCTCTTTATTTATAACTAACAAGTAACGCAACTATATTAAAAGTATACTGATTAAATATAACTAAATAAAAATCATGAGTTTGATAGTCATCTTGATCTTTAAACTGAGGAAGTGAGGATCACGATTCCTAAAAGTGGGAATCGAGATCCCAAAATTAAAAAATCGAGATCCGTTTTCTCAGAGAGATGGAGGGAGATACCAGAGAGGGATCGCCAACTAGGTTAGGAAATCCCAGCAACTATGCAAAAGCCCTCAACACAACCCTTCCCAATTATAGTCATCCTACAACCTTGAGCTAGGAAGAGATGCTCACAACATTATGCTTTCATCTAATCAATGCAAGGGAATGAACCTTCAAATCAGAAAGACTTAATTGTGGTTGCTGTTGGCAGATTTTGTAAAGAATGTCCAGTAAGGAGACAAAGATCGAGAACTAGAAACCGCCACCAAAAGAAACCAAATTAATTCCTACAACTAAATAGCACCTCCCTCTCAGCTTCAAAGGCACTCCTTTCAAACTACATTCTCTGCCTCTCGTGGATAGACCCAAAGAGCACCTTCCTACCCAAGGCGGACATCAAATATTCCTGCTCTGTTTAACCATTTCTTGATAGGACACCAGACTTAACAAACTCTTTAAAGACATTAACAAACAAGCAAAATTCATTCCCTACATATTACAATGAGAAAAACCGTATGGTTGGGCATTTCTATTATCAATTCAGCATCATAATATTGGAATACCACTTAGGCAGCTTTTCCCTTCCCTCTTCCTTCTTGCTTGCCACCAGTTAGCAGTGGTAGATGACTATGTCGAGCTAAGAGGTTCTTCCTTAGTTTGAACACCTTTCTTTAGGCGAAGTCTATCTAATCTAGAAACTTATTCTTTCAATTCCCTACTTCAACTGCTTGCACCGATCTTCAGTCCACTTACCGGACTAGACTCCATTATTTGGGCTCCTAATCCATCTGATCCATTCTCTGTCTCCTCTTTCTACTCTTCCTTACCTCCCAACCTGTCCCCTTCCCCTCTCCTTAATAAAACCCGGTCCTTGCCGGTGCCCCACAAAATTCAGGCATTCATTTGGGTTCTCCTCCAAGGTAAGGCCCTTACTTTAGATCAACTGCAGAGACAGGGTCTCTCCTTCCCCAATCACTGTATCCTGTGCCTCCAAGATGAGGAGACTATTCTCCATCTATTCATCCATTGTGAGGTGTCCTCCTGCAGTTGGTCCTCCCTCCTTAATCTCTTTGGCCTTCAATGGGTAACTTCCCCTTCCCTACCTAACCTCTTCTCTGCTCTTCTCTCTCCGCCCTTCCATAGGAATGGCAGAAAGTCGTGGCAATTGTCGGTGGCTGCTCTACTATGGAGCATTTGGTTTGAAAGGAATTCTAGGACCTTCCGTGGATCTGCTAGGCACCAAATGTCCATTTCTTATTCCATCCTGGCCTTGATCGCCCTTTGGGCAAAACTCATTCATGTCTTGTCTTCACTTCCCATTACTCACTTTTTAGCTAATTGGTAAGCTATCTTGAAACTATTGGCCCCCTCTCCTAGATTCAGAGGAGAGTGGAATCCTCCTCCGCTAGGTTTCCTCAAACTTAATACAGATGGTTCCTCCCTAGGAAACCCTAGTCCCTCAGGCTACGGCGGCACTCTTGCAAACTCAGATGGCATCTTTCTCTCATTCTCGGGCTACTTAGGGATCAATGATTCCACCACTGCAGAAGCCATGGCTCTCCTAGAAGGCCTCAAGCAAGTGCCTCAGAATATTAATCTCTGTGCATCGCTCTTCCACAGGTCACATTCAAGCACATCTTTCGTGAAGCCAACATGCAAGCAGATAGGTTGGCCAAGGAAGGAGCTCGCAATGCCGTAGTTGCATCCTCCATCCTTTGACTGCTCTTCTTTCTCTCCCTTTCACTCCTCTCATTCGTCCTCTCCTTCTATAAAGTAGTGGAAAGTTCAGTTGTTAAAACAAAAAAGGAAAACAAAATTTAAAAAGAGAAAAGAAAAGAAGAAAACAAAAAAAAATTAAATCATTATTTTAGTTTTACTAGGCCTTGCTGCCACTTTTCCTCTCATCTCGCCTGTCTCTAATTCCTGTCTCACATCTCCCCCTATATTATTTCTTTCTCTCTACTTTCTCTCTTAGTGCGCTCACACCTCTTTCCTTCTGTCCACCTCTCTCTCTCCCACCACTCTCTTCCTCACTTCTCTCTCTCTCTTAAGCTCCTATCTCTTTCCCACCTTTTCCTTTCTCTCTCTCCTTGCACCCTCATCTTCTTTCTACACCCCTCTTCCCTTCTTCTACTGTCTCCCCTTCTTTTATTACCTCTCTTGCAGCGCTTCTATTACTAGGAGGGCTTGGGTATGCCTTAGCTCCTACCTTTGCAGCCTCAGCTTTTCATTCCACTCCACTGACTTCGCCTCACATGATGAGACAGCAGTCTCTGGAGCCCTCATTCAGATGTTGCTGGTTTATCACGTTTGAGGGCTCTCTTCACGGGCACTTGTAGTGCTTTCATCTCTCTAGAAGATTCTTTCCTTTTCTTCTCTTATCTTGTTTTAATTTTGTGGGCTCTCTTCATGGGCTACTGTATTTCTTGCATCTCTCTCAAAGATTCGCTCCTTGTCTCCTTTTATTTTGTTTTAATCTGTAGTCTGAGCACCCAACCTGTGGGCTGCCTCTCTTAATATTTTTGTGATGTTGTATTGCTATTATTTATATCTATAATGTTAACCTTTTCCTCAAAAAAAAGAAATATATATATATATATATATATTGGAAGACCATAGGACTTAGTAGATGCATATTGCATGTCAGTTACATAACCTCTCAAGATAGTTGTCAAAGATTAGGTTCACAATTCTTGTCCTTTTTTTTGATAACTAAAGGTTAATGCCCTAGTTAGTTAATTGATCATGGACCGTTACCGTGTGTGAGATTAAGGGGCTTGCGGCTAACAAGGTAAAATTAGATATAGGTACATCACATTTTGCATTAATACCCATCACTCTTGTTGACCAGAGGAATTGGGCAAACAACAAAAATGGTTTTAGGATCATTAGGATGGTGGGTTTGTCTTGTTCCAAGAGAAACAACTGATGATGCTGATCAATCAGTTGAGGATGTAGGGTCAACCTCTCTACACCATTCCTTAAAGTGGAAACTGTATGTAAACACTTAGAGAGAGTCCTTCTAGAAATTATGATACTTCGAATTGGTTATTTTCCTTTGGATCATCATTGCAAAACCTGAGGGAAGAGCCTCCTCCACAATGGAGACCATCTGGACTTCTTGGCAGGACCTCATACGTATGGTCAATAGACAATATTACCACAATATTCCATGTGGGAAGGCTTACAGGGTTAGGATCACTCAAGTATGATTTATGAACCTCTGAGACTGTGTACTTATATATCTTCAAGAATGAAAATACAGAGCTCCACCACATGAAACCTATTCCTACAACAAATTGGCATAGAATTTAGAGGAAATAAATAGATTAAGTAAAATTCGCTACTACAAATATTCACAAGTTTTGAATATGAAGAATGGCGTACTAACAACATTGCTATTTTCCGATTCTAACCAACCAACAACAATCTACACATGTAGACAACGAACAAGATGATTTCTTAGATGATATATCGCAACCTAAAGGGGTAGCACCAGATTTTTATGTGCATGAAAATGAAGTTTTCTTTTGTTGTAATGAAATTTTCTACCTGTAAGTAAATCGCAAGCATGCCAAGCAAAGCACACACAAAAACATGGATGCTTATGCACGCACGCACACGCAAACAAGCTCAAAAAAAAAAAAACAGCGTGCCGCAAGCTGTTGCACCCCTTCTGAACATGTCCACAATAATATTGCACAAGACAAATTAATAGCTAAATAAGACAATATTGGACGCAGAACAAAAGCATAATTTCACAAATGAAATAAGATTAGCAATCATAGCCATGATGCCAGATAGAAAATGAGAAAACAAATAGACATACACGATTGACACCACCAAAAGACCTCATAGGAACAATGTAATTGTTTAGTAATGAGCCTCCTGAATTTATGTGTGCCTGCATGCATGTTAATATGTTATCTATCATTTGTAATTGATAGGATACTATTAGAACCCAATAAACAGAACTCAGTAATTATGGACCTCTTATTTGAGCATATATCCAAAAATCAAGAGGAAAATGGTGCAAGTATCAATCTTCTAAGTTCCAAATATACACATGCTACTCCCTTAGGAATTATCATCAAACTATAACTTTGTAAATAACATAATGTAGGCTTAATTAGAAGCACAATTGACATTGAACCCCAATTATAAGCTAAGTCAGAATTCAAAGTGACATTGCCCATTCAAGGAAAACAAATAATTGAAGTGTAAGATTACCTTGGCTTCCAAGTCTGCATGGGCGTGATGTTCTTTGCATCTGCATCCTCAACACCACAAATTGCAGATTTTGAAATGTCTTCTACCTCAGGTGCAGATAAATTCAACACCAAGGATGAGAGGAATGAATCAGAGGCTATGTGAGATGAGTTATTGCTGCTCGAACGCAATCCCCCACCTCCCAAAAGCACCTGTAAGTGGGCCTCTCTAAGATCCCTGCCTAATAGTGATAAGGCTGAATTGTTAGAGAGAGCCACTCTCCGCAATCTTCGTCTTCTCTGAAGGTAATTCGCAGTTAAAGCTTACCAAAAGAGATTCTAGTTCATAAAGAAAGATTAAAACACACATCTTTCCATAGCAATAATTGAATTATTTTCAGAAGAGTAATTCCCGTATGAGAGATAGTTCCAACTTTTTCAATCCCAAACCTTAGCTTCTCCTCATAACGTACTATGGCCTTAATTCATAGACTTCATAGAAACATTTATACAATGAATCAAATTGAGGAAAATGAAAATTAATCTGGTTGCTCAAGGTAAAATTCCATTTTTCATTTTCATTTCTATGAATAAACAAAATAATCCACGACATGTCATCTAGTACTTCTACCACAATTAAAAGGATATTTTGAATAGGTGTCCATGTTGTATCATTATATGATTCAGCATATCCCGTGTAACCTTAACCGAGCAGATTGGACAAACCTGCAACACAACAGAGAACATCATTTCGTATGTTTTAGACCCTATTGCTAGGCCATTCCAATTCGAGCAAATCAAAAAATGGCACTTCATTTTGCATAAGAAAATGAAAACCTTTTTCATGTGGTGCCAATGTGTGAGGAGAGGAAGGAGATGAGATAGAGAGAGAGAGAGGCAGAAATCAAGTTATCCAAAGCCCATAAGCCAAAAAATCCATAGGAGAACCTCTGCTTATCTCGCCTTTCAAGCACTTAATAGAGCCTCTTTCTGCATATTTCCATGTCCAGGACCATATTTAAGATCAAGAATCAACAAAATAATATTCTTCCCAATGCATAAATTTTCCATATGGGATTTCTTATTTCTATAATAAAAAACAGGAGACAAATAGATTGAAGCATAAAAAATGCAGAGGAAGCCACAATATCTGAGAATTCTGTATTGAGAATGCAAATGTAAACTTCTCTAATTCTCTGCAAAATCAGAAGAAGAAAAAATTGCCCATCAAAAAACATAGGAGAAAAATAAAAATTTACCAATGAAAAACATAGAAGAAAGGATAAATCTTTCCAAACAAAAGCATAGAAAAAAAACAAAATTTGGCCAATCAAAAGCATCCAGAAAATAGGATAAAATCCTCCCAATGAGAAAAACAGACAAGTAGTTTAAAATCTTGACAATCAAAATAATAGAAAAATATCAAATTTTTTCAATCAAAACCATATTAAAAAGATCAACTTTTGCCAACAGAAACAGAATGATATTATTAAAAAAAAAAATCAAGCTCTAAACATCAAGTCCAAAACTTTAAGAGAGAGAAACCTCAAGGAAATGAAATACCGTGACTTTGGCCTCAAACGGATGCTCATCTTCGAGATGAGAACAGAGAGAGGCGATATCGTAGTCATCGAAGCAATATGGACACGGGAAATCAACTCGAACATCTTCTTCCACCTCAAAGTCATCAATACTCAACCGATCTGCAAACATCCAACATAACGATTATTTCAGAATAATAATTCACGGCGGAAAGGCCATAAACACAACGGGCAAATTGAGAGAGAGGGGAAGGAGATAAGAAAAGAGAGAGATGGGGGTTTTAGATCGGACCTAAATGAGAATGTTGTTGCTGTAAAGAGTACTGTTGCTTGGCAGCGGCGAGGCGAGATGTCCAGAGCTCACTATCCATTTGATTGGCGAAGAGATAGAGAGAGAGGAGATGAGAGAGAAAGGGGGGAGAGAGAGAGGAGGTGGGAAATAATCCAGAAAGGAAGGGAAGATGAGAGAGAAAGTGGAGGTGGGAAACGATCCAGACGTAAAGACGTTTGGAATGGATTTCTGTCAGAGAGAGAGAGAGAGAGCGAGAGAGACGTTTCAGAGAGATGTTAAGATCTGATGAGAGAGAAGGAGAGAGAGGGAGATTGGATTTTTAGAGAGAGAAACGGTAAAGCTTCAAATGGTTTTGGAGTGCGGATGAGGGAGATCGGATTTTTATAGATAGAAAGGGTAAAGCTTCAATGGTTTTGGAGAGAGAACAAACGATGAGGGAGGAGAGAGAGTGAGTTTGGATTGTTGGAGAGAGAAAGGGTAAAGCTTGAATGGTTTTGAGCTCGAGACAGTACAAAAGCATATAGACCGCTCCTAGATTCTCCACACGCTCACGAGAAAGAAAGAGGAGCAGAGAGTGAGAGAGAGAGGGGCCGAAGAAGGTCGGGGCGGAGACGTGTCCGTCAGTGGATATCGGTAGAGAGAGAGAGCGGGGTTAGAGAGAGAGAGAGTGCATTGAATGTTTCATCGCAAGTGCGGCGAGGATGGATGTGAGTGTTGACTCTGCTCGGCCCACACCTCTCCTACACGTTTTTACGGAGCCTGGAAAACATCGATCCCGACCACTAAATATGGGAAGAGGACACGAGGTTATGTGTATGCTGGCGGTGCATTCGCCCTCCGTTGAATAATTTTAACGGCAGAGATGAGTTATTGTATGGGACAGAAGTTTGGACGTGTCCTGGCTCCCGTTCATCTCCACGTCATTTCACTAAATGGACGGAGGTGTTTCCTCTCTTCCCATTTAACTTTGGAAATGTATACGATGTGTTCACAACCATTATTGACTCGTAGATTTGACATCCGATGGTTGAGGATATATCACTATTTAAACAGAGTCCAAAACAAAAGTTATCGAATGTTGTTACACACTTTCTTTCTTCTTCTTTTTCGACAATATTACTTCGCTTCTTTCTTCTTCTTTTTCGACAATATTACTTCGCTTTTATTGATACTAAAGAGGAAAATAAATAATCCGAAATAACTATTTGATCGAGACTTTTCTTTTTTTTTATCAACTCATCTCCAACTTTATTTGCGTCTTTGAAGATGTGTTGAAAATATATAATCAGCGAATAAACTGCATCCATCACTTGAAGCCACAAAGATCTCAAACGCCATGGGGGTTTAACCATGCAAGTGCACCACCAATTTATGACATTAAAAAAATCGCCTTCTAATATGATTGTAATTCCAAAACCCTTCTATCTCCAAATCATGAGCTCTTAACTCTGCATGATTTGTACCATCCACACCACACAGTCCAACATAACAAAATAATATATTTCCACTTTGATTTCTGCATACTCTACCAAAACCTTTTACCCCCAGGTTTCCAATGGAAGAACCATTAAAATTAATTTCCATAACTCTAACTGTTGGTAATACCCATCTTAATTTTGGTATGACTTTCAAAAAACGATAAGTGATGAGGTTACCTATGTCTGAAAACAAAACAATTTTAGAAATAAATAGTTTATCATAAATAAATAGTTTGTACAATGACCAAAAGTAGTTGTAACTTTCTTGTGTCATAAATAAATAGTTTATACAATCCTTTTAATTTTAGTACAAAGAGGTAAGAATCACTAGTTATGATACAACTCAAGCCATGGAATTTGAAATCTAATAGTTATAAGTGATTGTGACATATTTATAACAATGGTAAACAGTCTCATAGTAAAAAAGCATATAGTTGCTACCAAAACTTCTAAGGGTGAGTAATGGATTGGACCCGACTTGAGACCGATTGGTAGACCCCATTCGGTTCCGAGCATGGGTTAAAAAATTGGACCCAGCGAATTGGGTCCCGCAACCCGGACCCAACCCGTTACCACCCCTACCCACTAGATCCTCTTTGTCCCCTTAAATTATCCTCTTTTTGGGTGTGAACCAAAATCTTAAAATTTGAATTTTTTTTAAAAAAAGAATCACCTCTTTATCAAAAGGGTGTAGTTGGCATACGGATGCATCCGTAGATGTAGAGGTAAGGTGCACCTTCAAATGATAAATTTTATCATGGTATATAAGTTTGATGTAAAATGTTCTTAGAATTATCTCAAAATATATTTTCACATCTAATTATAAAATTTTAAATTTTAAAAATGGTTAAAGTCAATCAAGTAGATCTATAAACATATGAAAATCTTGAAAATAGACAGTGTAGATAATATGTTGTAAAATGTACTATTTATGAGAATTAAAATCTTTTTATATTTCATGGTCATACATCTCGATATCGAGATAGTCAATCAAAAGGCTTTTCAATATTAAAATTATCATTTCCGATAGATTTTTGAAATGCATCTGTAGCTGTAGAGGTAAGGTTGCAACCTTATATAAACTTTTTCCTTATAAAAAACAAAGAAATATCAATTACAGTTTGAGCTAATATCTAAAAAAATCTATTCTTTTTTAGTATGTTACTTCGGTATAAGTTGAAATTTAAGAAAGGCACATGCTTAAAAAGTAACATCAAGTGAAAATCACCCACCGGTTCGTAGTAGAATCGTCTGAGTCCGCTAGGCCCACTTGGCCAAAATAGAAAGAACAAAAAAACGCAAGATAATATAAACAAAATGTATAAAGTTTAAATTGTTTAAGATGAATTTTAGGAACCTTGAAAATGAAAACAATATATCTATGATAAGTAACATTTTTTCTATTTGGCAGAGTCCTGAATTGGAATAAAATTGGACCAGCTACCTACCGGTTTTGGTTTGACTCAATGGTTCTAAATCGACTTTAATCAATCCAATTAAAACGCACTTTCAAATTTTAACATAACATGTAATCTTGGTGTAAAAAATTCTTAAGATTATCTGAAAATCTATTTTCATCTCCAATTATAAAAATTTAAACTACAAAAATAGTTAAAATTGAGTAGATTTATAAACATACAAAAATATTGAAAATAGACAGTCTAAATAATGATGCATTATTTTTGGAACTCAATATTTTTTTTTCCATATTCATACATCTTGATATCGAGATGATCAATTAAAAGGTTTTTCAATATGAAAACAATATTTTCCGATGGATTTTTTAGGTGCTCTTGAATTGTACATTTTAAAATTACAACTTGATATAAATTTTTTCTTTTTACGAAATACTAGAGAATGGAAAAGAGTTCCGCGTGTGAGGTCGTCTTAGCCCAAAATGGTGCTAGACCCCCTAAAAAAACATAGATTAAAACAATTTTTAAAGGCTAGGAAGTGGGGAACGTTCTTCGATTGATCAAAAGGTAAAATTCAGCACAAAGTTAAACTTTGAACTCTACTCTTGATCTCAAGCGTCCAAGTAATTTCTGGACCGCGTACTTGTTGGAATATGAGATTTAAGTTTTAAGTGATCTAAAATTTATCCTTCTTAATTTATTGTATATTAATTTAATCCCAAAATCACAACCCTTTATATTCACAGGCTTGGGAAGGATTGGAGGAAAGTATCCACCCAACGGTCGCAACCTAGGATTGGATTAGCCCTGGCCCAACCTAGCCCAGTCCAACCCAGCCCGTGATCCCATAGGGCCGGCTTATGCCCGCCCGACCCTTTTAAGGCTGGATTATGTCGGGAAACCAAATAAGTATTTTTAAAAAAAAAACTAAAAAGCGAGACGAACCAGGCCGGCACTAGCCTAGCCTAGTCCTTAAAAAAAGTAGGGCCTGGGATGACCGAGCCGGGACTACCGGCCGCTATTAACCTCTCTCCGCATCATTTCCCCAAAAAAATCTATGCAACTGCTCATATTGACCTTCTCTTGACATATCGAACGTCCTACATCTTCCGGATGTGCCACTTACGCCGTTGGTGTATGGTTTCACTGGGTCCTCTCTCTCCTCACCTTCCATTCAAAGTTTGAAACGCGAACAAGCTTTCGCTCATTTTCTTACGTGGCCGGGCCACGGGAAAAGCCCCATGACGTGTTCTCTCTCTTTCAGCACAAGGTTGTTCCAGACAAATACATGGCACCGCCATGACCTAGAAGCATATAACTCTCTCTCTCGCACTGTAACATGGATTGAATTTGTTTTTTCAGATACTCTCTCTCACTACGTACTCATTGGGATTCCCTCTCTCTCGTTATATATTTTTTTTAGTGAATTGCATTGGCTTTCCGAATAGAGACAATTTGTATCTGTTTGTCTTTTCAATGCAATTTGTTGGTTGAGGTTGGTTAAGGACAGGGATATGTTGAACGATCAGGTTGCTTTCCTGTTGCAAAAGTACCTTGTCAATTATGTCAGGAGCCTTTCGAAGGAAGATCTTAAAAGCCGCGTTTGGAAGGGTACTAATTTCTCACCTCCTGGTTAATCTGTTGTACTTCAGTTTCTTGTCAAGTTTAACAAATTCCTGAGCTTCAATTGCTCATTTATAGAATCTCATGAAATGTGGATTTTCCTTTGGATTTTAGGATTTATTGTGCTTTACCAGAATTGTTTCGTATTCTGTTTAATTTCATATGACATCGAATTTTCTAGTGTTTTAATTGTGAGAATCTTTGTATACCAGCTTCTTTATGAAGTACGAACTATATAGCTTCTTTTTTTTTTTTTATACTACTTGTGATTGTTAAAGGTAGTTGTCAACACTTGTAAGAGATCAGGAAATTGCATAATCACTTTAGCTGTAAAAGTGTAAGTTGTGAATCATCTCACTGATTAACCAGTTAGGGTGGATGAGAAGCGGAAACATGATAAAATTGCAGGTTATACTTGGTTTATGCTAGTTTCTCGCTATGAAGTGTTCCATGGATTTTGTAAATAGAACTTGCTACCTGGCTCTTCAAGTGCAATAATGTATATGGCTTGGGGTCATTTGGTCTCTCCCTCGTATCAACCAGGTTGGTTTTCATGAACTATTATGTAATCGAATATGGATAATAGCCCAAGTCAAAGCTGAGAGGTGAAAAAATGAGCATATCTAGATAATGAAGAAAAAGGAGCTTCTCCAAACACACCAGTGAATCAAACTAAGACACCAGAGTGAATTAAAGTAAAAAATTTAGTTGCCTCCCTCTATTCACTTCTAAAGTGTAATACATGACATGATTCTTGTAGTGTTGACAACTTAGGCTTGAACTTGTGGAGTTCTTATCAACTGAGGATTCCAGAATGTAGTGACTATTATTATTGACTTTATTTTTGTCAGAGGCTTTATCCAGTTGACAATGCTAATCCAAACTTCATTATGTGACTTAGGAGAAAAGAATTTGATGACTGTGAAGACAAGAATAAGTTCTGTAGTTCTTATCAACCAAGTTCACTTGAATGTATTAACTATCTTCTATTGACCTTATCTTTGTGTTTACCCAATTGACAATGATAAGTCGATCTGCATTATTTGAAAGAAAAGAAAAGTGAGGAGCTAAAATAGGATTGCCAGGAGATCTACTTCCTATCCGGAATAGCTCTTCAAACAATCTATTGTGCTCAGATGTCATTTCCAAGCTCAAAAGATTAAGAAATCAGAATTTGATGGAGAACAAATGCAACACCGAGCAAATTAATCAATGGCAGTTGAGAAATATTTCGGAAGCAAGAAACAAATTTTATCGGCGATCATAAAAAGAGCATTAAAAAATACAAGATAATTTGTTGGCCTATTTATGACTTCTCTTCTTCCAATTTTAGTTGCATCAGGGATGAAATTTCATTCAGATGAACAAGACGCTTTTCTTGATACTTTAGAGAGGAAGGAAACAATGATTGATCGTGTCATGTGATTCAAGGACCCTGAGTCAATCACCCATTGAGGAGAGAGAGAAGCATTAAATAGTAACAGCTGAGTACATGAGGCTGGAATATACTAGAATGGTTGTCAAAAATTCTCTTGAAGAGGGCCAAAGAAGCTATTGCATGTGCTTAGTTAGAATAAGAAGTATTCCTTCAATTTATGTCACAGCCGTTGTATGAGGAATGGAATCATCTGAAGTGGCTGTGGTGGTTGCATTTTTTGGGTTGGATAACATTGAATAATCAATTTTCCCTCCGGTCCTATTGTAATGTGTACAGGGAAGAAACTAAGTTCGCCCTTGTCCATGACTGAAAAATGTTGTGCCTTGGGATCCCTCTCAAATCAGGTGTTCCTTATGAAACTGTGCAACTCCAATGAGGACAACAGAAATGTTTACACAGTTTACCGAGCAAGATGGTGCTTGATTCTAGTTTTTTCTTTCTAGTCTCACCCCAAATTTCCTTCTTTTTTTTGTTAAACACAAATTTTTCCTGCAATATGTAATATGATTATTGGTAAATATTGACATTCACTCTGCATATCTCCTTATTTGTTAACTCCAAGATATGGTGATTCTTGTAGTTTCTTGAGATGTTAGGCCTCAAATGCCCGATTTTGGAATCTGAGGATATGATACCTCACCAATCTAAATGGACTCATTATGGATTGACAGTTACATGCCAACAGTAACCAGATTTTGCTTCAATGCACTCTGATCAATGCGTGTCTTTGAAGTTTCAAAATTGTTGTGTATTGATGGGTGAAGGGGCTGGTTCAACATGGGGCATCAATTGAGACATTTATTCTACCCAAGGCATTGACTTTCAAGTGGATGTCCGACCTTTTTTTTTTTTTAAAGCAACTTTCATGTGTTGAAACTGAGAGCTCATTGCCTACTTATTTGTTGTTGATGAAAAAAGCCTTAGGTAAAACAATGACGCTTAAAGTAGTTATTATGTCTTCATTTACAAATACTTGCATGGACCTGGATTTCTGAGCCTGCTGAATTTGATACACATATTTTCTACAGGTGATGTTGAGTTGACAAATATGCAGTTGAAGCCGGAAGCTCTGAATGCCTTGAAGCTCCTGTAAAAGTCAAGGCTGGATTTCTTGGGTCTGTCAAGATCAAGGTTTGTGTTCTGAAAATTTCTTATGCGCGTAGCATTTGGTTCTCCAGGATTTGTTTTATCCTAAGCAAATGACCTTAAGATAAATTATTTTATGATTTCATGTTCTGGGTTTTGCTCTTCTACTATTTTGGGTTTCAGGTCCCATGGAGCATGCTTGGTCAAGAGCCCGTTTTAGTTTATTTGGACCACATTTTCTTAACTGTTGAACCTGCAACTCAAGTCGAGGGACGTACAGAGGATGCTGCCCAAGATGTTAAGAAAAACAGAGTGCGAGTAAGGGAACTGGTGCTATGTAATTGAACTGCCATATGGTGCTTTGATAAAGAATTGTAACTAAGTAATTGAAAATGTTGTTTGTGTAACACAAGGAACTGGAACTGAAGCTTTTGGAGGCCTTGCAACGGCAGAAAACAGAAGTGGTATGTTAGTTTTGGACATCTTCATGCATGCAGCTAAGCGGATTATTTATTATTTTTTCTTGTAGATTGAAAATTCTTTTGTATTGAAAAAACATGACTGACAGATGGCGTTTTCTTTTGGTAATTCTCTTAACAAAGATGATTATGTGGCTTGAATTTTATTTAACTGTCATGTCCTATCTGAATCTGATACATGTCTATGCTCCCATTTTCCATCATCAATGAATGACACATCATTTATCTGCATGACTTGTTGAGCAGTGTTTAAAAAGTCACATTTTTTGACTCGGACTCGGGAGAGTCACTCATACTTGGCAGCAGTGTTCAGAAAATCGACTCGGCCAAGGTACTCGGGCCTTGGCCGAGGTGGGTTACTCAAGTGAGTCCAAGTAACTTACCCGAGTCTAAGTAACTCGCTCAAGTCCAACTCGATAAATTTTTTTTTAAGAAAATGAAGACAAAAAGGTGATATATATATATAAAGAATAAGGTATTATTCCTCCATGTTTATTTTTCAATCTTGTTTTGACCTTTTCAGCAAAAAGATGGGGTAAACCGGCTATAAATTTTTCCTTTCAATGGTCCGATTTACTGTCTTCTCTAGAAAGAAGTCTAGAGAAGAACACATCCATGTACCACTTATAATGGGATAGTGTTGGGCATCTAAGATTAGAAAGAAAATCTTTTGATCTGGCATCCAATAGTGTAGTACTTCCCACAAAGTGCAGAGTAATAGTATATATTAAAGTATTAACTGCATCACCTTCAGTATGTATTATATATTGACCATGCTCATTCTTAACTGCCCACTGTTTTGTGGCAGTTAGTATTTCGTTTTTTACATTTTCTTCCATATGGTAGTTAGTATTTCGTTTTTTACATTTTTTACATATTTTGGTTGCTGTATATGGCTGTTTGTTCTAGTTAACCCATCAATTATAGGTCTTATAGAGGTCTCTCTTTGTTCACTTTGTGGTATAGAAGAAGTAGAGTGTCTTGATGGTATTCGTAAGGAACCTTCTGAAAGGTTTATTCGAGTTCGTCTATTTGAATTAAACTGTATTTCTATATCTCAATCAGGATACTCAATTATTTGATCTGGGTCGCTATTTACCGGGATTCTGGACTGTTGATTTTCACAGTGTAAATACCATTTATCTGGAAGAGTTATTTGAAACCAGTTTATAGACTTAGGTATAACAGTATTTGTGTACAGATTTAAAATTAAAAAGGCAGCTCGAAAAGCAAAGGATGACTGGAAGGTAAGAACTGGGAGATTTTTGTGAGCAGTTTGGATTTAATACCCTACCTCAATCCAAAGATATTGATAAAAGGAAACATAAAAATAAAAAATATAATAAGTCAAGATCTAATAAAACCTCAGCTAAGGAAAAATTTTCCAAGAGATTCTTTCCAAAAAATAATTTTAAAAGACCTAGGGGAAAAAGACGAATACCTGTCTGTTACAATTGTGGAAAAGTAGGGCACTATAAAAATAAATGTAGAATAAAAAAGAAAATAGCTGCCTTACAATTGGATGATAATATTAGAGAACAGTTATTTAGTATATTACAAATAAATACTGAATCTTCCGAATCTTCTTCTTCTAGTTCTGAATCTGAAATGCTAAATGGCGAAATAGAAAATGAAGATTTAATTTTTAGTAGTTCTGACTCAGAAGATAATAATACTGATACTAACTGTTTTTGTAATACCCTTTCAAAAGAAGAAAATTTAATTATTGATATAATAGATAAAATAACTGATCCAGAGGCTAAGCGAGAAGCATTAGTCCAATATATAAATATAGCAAAATTTAATAAAAAACCCTCTCCTCTAGTCCGTACCCAAGAGGATTATGGCTTTGCTAAAATCCTTAAGAGTCGAGGATAAAAATAATATTAAAAAAAAACCATCTATTTCTGAATTAAGGCAAGAAATAAATGAAGTTCAAAATGAACTAATAAAATAGAGTACAGGTTTTAGAACTAGCCTCTAACCCTGTAGAATATAGTCTTGCTGATTCAGATGACGAGTTAGAATTTGATAATATTATAAGTAATTATAAAAAGCCTCTATCTCTTAAAAAAGAGGATTGTCCTCCAATAAAAGATGAACCAGAGTCTTCCAGTTCAGTACAAAATTGTAATTATGTTAGTCTTCTTGACAAAGTAGTTACTCAAAAATGGTTCACTATGATAAAAATAATCGTCCATAAATAATATAGTTTCCAAACCCTTGCTTTAATAGACTCAGGAGCAGACCTCAATTGTATAACGAAGGACTTGTTCCCACAAAATATTTTAGTAAAACCACTCAAATCTAAAATACAGCAGACGGCAGTAGGATGATTATAAATTATAAACTTTCAAACGCTGCAGTTTGTAACAATGGTAATTGCTTTGAATTCCCTTTTATCATGGTAAAAGGGTTAAGCCAATCTGTAATATTAGGAACTCTGTTCTTAAATATGTTATATCCAATAAGAATTGACTGTACGGGAATTGAAGCCAATATAGAGGGTCACAACGTAAAATTCGAATATATTGAGAAACCCAAAATCCGTGAAATAAATATTGTTAAAGAAACAATTTCTAATAAAGAAAAATTCTTATACCACCTTAAAGAAGAATTAAAATATAAAACAATTGAGAATAAGCTTTCAAACCCTAAAAATAGGAAGCTGATAGAGAATATTAAAAATTATATTGAAAAAGAATTTTGTGTAGAACTACCAAATGCCTTTTGGAATAGAAAAAAACATATTGTAAACCTACCTTATGAAACTGAGTTTCAAGAAAATAAAATCCCTACGAAGGTTAGACCAATACAAATGAATCCCCGACTCTTGAAAATTTGCAAAAAGGAGATTGCTGATTTATTGCAGAAAAAGCTTATCAGAAAAAGCTCCTCCCCTTGGAGTTGCTCAGCATTTTATGTAGAAAAAGCTTCTGAAATAGAACGAGGGGCTCCCCGATTGGTAATAAACTATAAACCACTTAATAAAGCATTGAGATGGATTAGGTACCCTATTCCTAATAAAAAAGTTTTGCTAGATAGACTGGTAAATGCCTGTATTTCTTCTAAATTTGATCTAAAATCTGGATGTTGGCAAATCCAGATTGCTGAAAAAGATAGGTATAAGACTGCTTTTATTGTCCCTTTTGAACAATATGAATGGAACGTAATGCCTTTTGGTCTTAAAAATAGCCCTTCAGAATTCCAGAATATTATGAACGATATTTTCAACCCTTATACAAAATTTATGATTGTTTACATTGATGATGTTTTGATATTCTTTGAAAGCATTGAACAACATTTTAAGCACTTAAATATTTTTATTAAGGCTATAAAATCTGTAGGGCTAGTGGTTTCTGCTAAAAAGATTAGTCTTTGTCAAACCAGAATAAGATTTCTCGAACATAATATCTTTCAAGGTAGTACAGTCCTAATTGATAGGGCTATTGAATTTTCAAATAAATTCGCAGATATTATCATAAACAAAACTGAGCTTCAAAGACTTCTGGGTTGTCTAAATTATATTGCTGATTTTTATAAAGACTTAGCTATTGATGCTAAACCATTATATCAAAGACTACGAAAAAACCCACCTGAATGGACTAATATTCATACAACGGCAGTAAGAAAAAGAAAGATAAAAGCCAGGCAATTACCTTGTCTTACACTTTCTAATCCTACTGCCTTTAAAATAGTTGAATGTGATGCTTCTGAAATAGGATTGGGCGAACTACTAAAACAAAAAATTGAAAATACTGAACAACTAGTAAGGTTCACTTCCAAAGTTTGGAATCCAACGCAGCAAAATTACTCCATGATTAAAAAATAACTTCTTGCTATTGTTCATTGTGTCACTAAATTCCAAAGTAACTTGCTCAATCAAAAATTTCTCGTCCGCACTGATTGTAAAGCTGCTCAAGATATTATCCACAAAGATGTCAAAAACCTTGTTTCCAAGCAATTTTTTCTCGCTGGCAAGGTATTCTCTTTTCGGAGGATGATAATAGCAACATATACCAAGGGAAAGGGAAAAATGGAAGTAATCCTTGTACCTAGCAAAGTCCTAATAGCTTCAACCTCACCAAACCAAATAATTAAGAAAAAGGCGCAAGAAATAACATTTTCACAACATTTTCACCTGAACCAGTACCAATAACTTCATCAATAGAAGAAAAAAAGTAGGTTTCTGGAAACCTCTTTTATGCCAATCATGATAATAGAAATATCCATAAAGATAATGATCCATATGACATAGCAAATATTTATATGAATAGCCATATGCATCCAATAATGGAAGCAAGACCAGAGAATAGTATGAAGCCATACTCTTAGAAACAAGATCAAATACATTGGTCCACTTTTATAAAAAAATATACAAGTATGATAGCATACTCTAAATTCCAAATACGAAGAATACTTTCATATAAGGATTGGGGAATGGAACCTTTGAAACCAAGGAAAATGCAATCAGAAGGATTTTCTAATAGATATTTTCAATACTTTGAATATATTGAAGCATGGCATAAAGTATTCGCCTTTCAAAATAATAATAACTCTCATACTTAGTTCATCCAAATTAAAATACCAACAGTGGGAGAATTCCCAAATTGGTTTACAAATTGGTTCCAATTGTGGTTCTCAGGGACAGAAATATTACCATCTAATATCCAAGCCTCTCAACGGAAATTTGCAGAATATAATAGTAATGATACCAGAATAGACCTTCATATGTACTTCATAGCTCTATATCAAGTACCATGGATTATGAAATGGTCCTATCAAATAACAGAAGATTATACGAATAATTGGGAATATATCCCAGAACTGAGAAGATAAATATACTTAAAATGGTGGGATGTCTATGAAAACAAGACCCTTGATCCCAAAAATATATAATACCACTTACACCTCCAAAAGAAGAAGTTAATATGACCGATTATATCAATAAAATGAGGCAGCAAAATCCTACTGCTACCAAAGAA